TATATATCTCCTCAATATATGTTCCATTCTATATGCATCCGAAGAAGTGGGCTGTAGTCCACGAAAGCTTATGCTCTAATAAATTTGTTAGTCTCTAAGGTGCCACAAGTACTCCTGTTCTTCTTTTTGCGGATACAGACTAACACGGCTGTTACTCTGAAAAGGGAGGGGAAATTATTTTTGTAGTGCTAACAAGGCCAATGCAATCAAGGTGGCCCATTTCCAACCGTTGACAAGAAGTTGTGAATATCAGCAGAGGGAAAATTATTTTTTGTATATTTAATAATAAGCTCTTCAATCTAGCAGACACAGGTATAATATGCTCCAATGCCTGGATGTTTTAGCTAGACAAATTCAGACTGGAAATAAGGCATAAATCTTTAACATTAACCATGGGAACAATTTCCCAAAGGTTGTAGTAGAGTCTCCGTCACTGGCAATCTTTAAACCAAGATTGTATTTTTTTTTAAAGCTATGCTATAGGAATTATTGTCCTATTTCATACTGGTGTCGTGGAAAAAGTCACCAACGCATTGATTTTAGTTCACAGACTCAAGCCTGAGGCCAGTTTATTGCAATACATACCAACGCGTTGTGGGTTGCAGTTGGAAACTACACCCCTGAGCAGAGCTCGCAGGCTCCTTTTTATTCTTACAAACCGCAAACATATTACAAGTTACATGTCATTTACGAAAAATAAAGAGTTAGGGTGCTCCCTTTCCCGGCACCTTTCTTATTATTTTCCGAGAATTGGGTGCATATTAGGTGGAGGGCTTTTGGTGGTTTCCGATTCTGGTCAGGACTTGGCATTCATTCGGGGTATATTCTCGGCAGGGTGCATAGTACCTTCCGGGATGTTACGGTCAGGGGTTGACAGGACGCTCAAAGAAGGTATCTAATTGGCTAGTTTTGCATTTAGCTGGAATTAGAGGGTGCTCACAGGAGAAGTTTGCATTTAGCTAGAAATTCGGGGGGAGGGGTGTTACAGAGCACCCAAAGGAGAAGCTGCATTTAGTTAGTTTGCATTCAGCTAAAGTTACCTATTGCTTCACACAAGCGGTTATTCTATTTCATCAGCCATGAACATATTTCATTAGTGCTGCTGCTGTGGCTTTTTATTATTTCCCTCCTTGCCCCACCCCCACCCCCACCCCCTCGGTCATGACCCTTGACCGAGTTTGGCAGGAGGCTGTGTCACTTAGCCTAGTTCAGGCTTGTGACCTGCAGGGCGGGCCTATATGACGAGTCTTCGCCGATGTTCTGATCGGTGCAAGGGAGGCCAGCCAGGCCTATTCCCCCACACTGGGCAAGTCACTTAAACCAAACTTTTCCCAGGTGGTCACTGATTGTGTGTTCCTCATTTTCTAGGTGCCCAGTGTGAGATCCTGGGGTCTGATTTGCAGAAGGGCTAAAATCTATAAGAGCTGTGCTTTGAACATATGAACTGCTATATAATGCTAAGAGTCTCAAATTGGGCTGCCAAAATTAATGGACAATTCTGACTATTCTCTTTGTGCCTCAGTTCCCAGTATCTAAAATGGGGCTAATATCACCCCACAACCTCACATGGGTGTCATAAAGATAAATTGATTAAAGTCTGTGAAGCACTCAGGTACTGTAGTGAAGAACACCATAGAAAAGCCCCTGAAGAAATTAATAATTTTGAATTCAGAACAGTGTTTGAGTAGTGAGCAGTAAATAAGCCCTGGGGCCACACACTGAACAACACAGAGAAAACAAAACATTAACTGAGCACTGTCCGTCCTGTGTACTGAAAGAGGCAAGGGTCCTGTGGAAAAAATAATATGTAATTAAATAATTATGCATATGCGCTAGGAGGCTGAACTAAGGCTGCACAGGCAGCCTTAATTCTAGCATTTCCTCACTTTCAGGTGCTTGACTTTACAACTTTAACAATGTTCTTTTAAAATAGTTTTCTGTGTGTAATAGTAGACAGAGACACAGGGGTAGTGGGGTTGAAATGAGGGGACAGAACTATGCACATTTGGAGTAGTTGGAGACAGTGCTTAATTTGTAATGAAAAGTGCCAGGGCTCAAGCAATGTTTATACTTTCATAACTGACACAGCAACCTCACAGTTGCTGGGGATATGAACTGTCAAGCTTAGAGGTGCCGGAGTTCAACCCTAGCAAGCCCTGGATCAAATTAAGAACTGTTTGAGAGCAGCTTTGCCACATGCAGGCAAACGTACCAGACAATGCAAGAGGTTGTAGGGATCAGACAGCTGGGGGTGATGGCTAAAGGGTTGAGACAGATTATGGATCACAGATTGGGGTGACAGAACTGCTTTTCCCATTCCTGGAAGAGCTCATTTTCTTGTGTGCTTGGCTCTCTTCTAGTAACCCGACTGCTCCCTTCTAGCAACACTGCAAGCTCCATGGAGAAGGGGAAAGGCAACAAGGCAGATGCTCAGCGTTACAGCCCGGTATGTGCAGGCCTCCATGTGCTTCCATCCTCACCAACACCCAGATGATGATGGGGCAGGGAGGAGATGGGCTTAGTGCAGGGGGCTTTGTATGCTCAGGGTGCATGGGGACAATGCTTCAGGGAAGGTTAAAGAACTGCCATTTCCTTGTTCTACAGGCCTCCATTTTGTGTTGTGTGTGATGTCATCGCTGGAGGGGTGTCACGGTGCATGCTGGGTAATGTACAGGTAACTGACACACTAAGAGCCTTCATGCCCCTGGATTCATAGATTCTAGGACGGGAAGGGACCTCGAGAGGTCATCGAGTCCAGTCCCCTGCCCACATGGATGGAGGGTTGGAGACAGGTGGCTGAACTGTGAAGGATGAGAAGGGGCCTTTTCCCCATCCCCACCCCTCCACGAGGCAGAGTCACAGTGAAGCAACATCCTAGTGGTTCCCACCCCTTCCATGGCCAACTCCCTGTGCCCCTACACATCTAGCTGAGCCCCCTTTTCTGGGAACTTCTTTGCACCCCACTCAACAACATAACCTTCCCCAACCACCTCTCCCTGCCTCATCGGACTCTGGCCCCTTCTTAGCGCTGTCCCCTTCCCCCCCCAAATGCTCTTTAAGTTTCCCACTTTGCTCAGACATGCTCCGTGGTTCCCAGGGTTTTATTTTGCTGAACCATCTCTTGCTCACCGGCTAGTTTTGTGTCTGTCTCCATGTCTGTCCATTGGTGGAATGTGCTTCTCTGTGGCAGTGTTACAGCTTATTCAGATAGGCATAATGTGACTATGAGCTACTAGACAAAGTTATAATGGGGTGAGTGGTGGCAGGGCTAGAGGGAGCACTCTGAGCAGCAGGGTCTCTAGGGGTTCTGAGATGCAGTGGGAGCAGTTTCTCTGGTTTTGTTAATGTCTTGGTGAGTGAGTTATCCAGGTGACAAACTTCCTCTCTCTGACTTGACAGCGAAGTAGCACAGTGCCCCATGGGTGATGTGGATGTCAGACTGTGACACACTCCCCCCAGGGACTGCAGACTTAGCAATAGAACCATGGGGAAGATGGGGAAGCAGAGGAAACACCCATAAGGAAGGAAGTACAGTGCATTTAGAGCAAATACCTGATTTTCAGTTTGCTGGCCCTTCTGAAAAGTCAGAAAAAATATTGTTTCGTGTTCAACAAACCATTTCATCTGGCTTTTGAGTTTTTTTAATGTTTGTCAATTTTTAAAAATAAAGTTGAAGTATACGTCAGCACAAAGTCATTTAGAATTGAAATATCTAAATATTTTATTTTGAAAATGTCTAAACGAAACATTACTTAGACGAAGATCTTTAGGGCAGGGATCAGCTCTGGGTGGAGGGAGGTGGTCAGGTTGAGGAGTAGACAGAGCAAGTGAGGCCAGATGGTCCCTTCAGAAGAGTGGTAGCTGTAAGATTTGGGTGAGGGGAACTTGCTTTTACTATGTGTTTGATTGTCTCTCTCTCAGGACTTGCTGCTGAAGTGAAGGGCCTGGCTACTCCTTACCTTAGAGATTCAGAGGAGAAAAGCTGGATTCCCAAGACTGCTGGCCCTTCTGCTTCCTCCAGTGATGGTTGTGTCAAAAGCAACCAGAAAACCAACCACAAAACCAAATGTGGCATTAATTCATTCAAGTATATCATTCCAGCTCAGCCATCTCTAGGGCCAGGAACAAGCTATTCCACTAGGGGATTTCCATACAATCCAGTGGAGGAGAGAGAGTGAAAAGGGAGCACTTCCAGTTTGTTTTTATTCCTGGTATAAAACTTTCCCCATTGAGTCCAGTGCAGAAGGGTTCAGATAGCCTGTTCATGGTCTTCTCTTCTTGGGAAGGCAGCACTTAAGAGTCCATTCTTGAGGAGGCAGAGAAATCCAGTTCACGATTTCTGCCCTATGAATTGACATGGAATTTGCCATTGACCTCCAAGGGCATTACTGTAACCCTGTCATTAAAGAGAGGCCCAGGCCCTGAACCCATTGAGGGCTATGCCTGTCTCCTCAGAATGTGTGTACATGAAGGTCTCTCCTTCCCCCATCTTTCATCACACTGCAAACTTAGTGTAGGAAACACTGTCCCGTTAGGAGTCATTCTTTTTACGGTAACTGATGAGTTCCGCAGCCTTGTCCTTGAGGATTTCATTTTCCCTCTGTATCGTCTCCCTTTTCTCTCTCTGCACCCTGCAGTAGAAGGATGTGTAAATGTGAATCTCTGACCCTCGCTCCATGCTTGTGGTGTCTGTGTGGCATCTTGGCTTGCAATAAAAGGAGATTATGACCAACCGACCCTGGGCGCTGTGAGGCTGTTGCGCTCATCTTCACTCTACAGTCCTCTAGAAATACTCATGATGCTAGGCCAGTGTTTATTTTGTTGTCATTGGGGGGGGGGGGAGAGGTGAGAAAGGAGGAGAGAACGAGAGCTTGCTCCACCCACGGAAGGTGACTTCTCACAGTGCTAGTCCCCAATTCCAAAGCAACAGTCTTTCCCCAACCCTGGTATGTGTCCCATCCCCCAGATTGCCCAGGAGATCGAAAAATCAGTCACCCAGGCAGTTCTGGCCCCAGACAAGTCACACTCATGCCAGGGAGAGCTGTCTCCTAGCCCAAACATGTTCAGCCAAGGAGGTGGTGACTCCTAGAGTTGAGATATTTAACATATCTCCCTAACCAAGCTGCTAGGAGTTCTCTCTGCCAGCCAAGACACTAGCACAGCTCTTACTTCAGCACAAGCACAGCCTCACCTATCAAGGCTTCTTCCAGCTTAGCCCCAACTGGGGGTGACTGTATTATCTGGGAAAGTAATAGAAATAATGTCAGTCTTCAGTCCCTGCTTTTCTCTCCCCCTCACACACACAGGTACAACATGGGACAATAGGCTAGCTTTGTGTTTGTTTATACCAGCTACTGGGGTACTGTTCAGGCAGAATTCCAAGTTAAATGGCCCAAGGGTCTGAGACAGACAAGTCACTGTGCCGCTTGAGATATCGGTCTGTTCTGATATATTGCTGTATTTGTTTCTTATTTTGTGAGGCACCTACGTATTTTGTGCATTGTACGGGCACCTAACTCGGGGCTGAGAATTCCACTAGGCTGCAGGGATCTAGCTCAAATGTCATTTTTCAGAGTAGAATAAATTGCACGTGGGGGGGGGGGGGGAGGATAATCAGCCAGTGTGTCCCCACAATGCAAAATGTCCAGGCTAACAATCAGATTAAATTTATTCCAAGTGCAGGATTCAGATAATATGAGAGAGAGAATTACATTATACGACAACCAAAGAGGCATTCAAAGTGCAGGGCAATGCAGGGATAATGAGGGGACTGGCAATATGGGCTGAGCTGCAAGGCACTGACACAGACAGGACTCAGACCCTGCTCTGAGCTCTCAGCCTGAAAACAATTTCCTGTAGCCAGGGCAGGAGTTTTTGCATATATAAAAAACTTACAGCTGTAGTTCCCTTAGCAGTTCCCACTGATCACCAAATACTGCCCACTTTGGGTAGACGGAGACAAAAAACCTGACAAGCATTTACACTTCACAGGGTGAAACAAATTCAGTCATTCTCAGTAGCGCGCTTCCAGACTGCAGACCACAAGTGAGACAAGATTTCAATCACCCTTATCAGCCAGCCAGAGCTCTGCCATTGCCCATGACCCTGTATTAACATTTCACTCACCAAAGTGTCACCACGTCCCCATCCTGCCTGGAAAAAAATCTATCTGTATTGTGAAAAAAGTGAAAAAATCAGTCTCAGTCTATCACGGGGACTGGAGTAGAACTGGAGTCCTGACAGAGGATTCCAGGGGAACATCACTGCTCTCCTCCCATCCCCTCTGGGACCCTAGATGCCACTTCTCAGGCATGGACGTTACTGCTTCATTCACATTTTAGTCACTTATTTTCTTCTTGTTTCATAGTGCAGCTGAATTTCTCACATCCTGGGTTTTGAAGCTGCAGGAACTGGTCCCAGCCATTTCTCTCCTGTAAGAAAAGCTAACAAATTAAATCCTGATACTGGGGGTGGGTTGCAGGGTAAGGCTGCCCTTCCCCCTCATGGAATGGGTAATTGTGCTGAAATGGGAATATAATTAATGGGACACAGAGCTTTTCACATCTAGACTACTGGACTCTGCTAGCTGAGATGTACTGCCCAGCACCAAAGATTAGCTTGAATTTTAAAATCTGCTCACAGATCTGGGGGTTAAGGATGAGCTATGGAGCCTGTAATCAAGCCTGGCATTCCTTAGCCAGTTTCCTCACAGGGCTAGGTCGAAAAGGGATCATGAACTCATTTCCCATGACTGACACGCCACTCCCCAAACACTGCCAAATCTGAGGTTGAAATTCAGTTTCCTTTTTTCTGGCTCATCAAACAGTGGGTAATGCTGTTTTTAACAGTCACCACAACCTATGCCAGTTCTCTTAATTAAAATCAAAGTTATTTTAGAACAAAAATTTTAAAAGAAATCACAAAACTATAAGCTAAGCAGAATACACATCCAGCTGGACTGTCTGCTATGGAAATGTAACTAGAACCCCTCTCAGCTTAGTTATAGTAGGATTATGAAGTCCTGGTAGTAGTAGGTCTCCATTGTAATCCTGAATTTGTTCTCTTTCTCCTTGCTAAAATCCATAAACAAGTTTTAGGCTGATTTCCCTTTACTAGGATAGGTCTAGGATTGAGGTATATTTTTCTGTCAGATTTGAAATGAGTTGGACAGCTATTACACCCAATAAATACAGGGTCGCACCTGAGCTCAATTTTTTTCCCACTTCATACCAAAAAATAAACTTTGCTTGACTTAGTTAGTTGCAATTTACTGTCCAGCACCTACAATTAGTTTTCAAAATTCCGCATTAATCAGCTACAGTCGTGTAAGAATGGCACCTCTGAGATTCCGACAGTCTTAAAACAGGACATCAGGTGACTGGGAAGGCTTCTATTTATTTATTTTTAATAAAAGGCTGGATCTTTAGCTGGGGATTTACCCCATAGTGTGTAGCTGCACCATTTACAGCAGCTGAGCATCTGGTTGTCAGTCTCCAGACATTCTGCCAGCAGAGAGAGAGCTCAACATGTAACCTCATCACCGGGGAGGGGGCTGGCATGGGGGAAAGGAGCATTTGCCACCGAAGTGGAGTTAATCAGACAAGCATGCCTTCTTTTACAGTGGTAACTAAGGAGGATGTTACACAACTTCTACTAATGTGAAACGTAAAATCAGCTGATCTGGATGATTTGCAACCAAGAGTTTTATAAGAGCTTATCAAGGCGCTCTTTGGTCCACTGACATTAATTTTTAAGAACCCTAGGAAAACTAGAAAGGGACAGAAATGGAAGAAAGCCACTATCAAACCAATACTTAAAAAGGGTAAATAGGATGACCTGGATAATTAAGGGCTAGTCAGCCTAACAAAGCCCAGGCAAAAATAATGGAGCATCCTGTCAAACAAATTTTATATAATTCTTTGAAATGATTTCAAGTCTGGTAGATAAAGGTAACTCTGTGGAGATGCAAGACATTTGAATTAATACCACCTGATATTCTGATTCAAACATGAGTGCTATTCAAAATCAATATGGCTCAATGGGTTAAAAGCTGGGTAACTGACAGGTTTCAACATGTAGTTACTAACAGACTTAAGTACTTGGGGTGCCTTCACTGGGCTCCTTCAGGGATCAGTTCTTGGTCTAATACGATTTAATATTTTGATCAATGATCTGGAAGAAAGTGTAAAATAATTGGTAACGTGCAGATGATACAAAGATATAGCTCTCCCTTCCCCTGGCCCAAGAGGGAAGGAGTTTCTGAGTCTTTGAATATGTCTACACTGCAATTAGACATTCACGGCTGACCTATGCCACCTGACTAGGGCTCAGGTTAAGCACAGTTTAATTGTGGTGCAGACATTTGGGCTTGGGCTTAGGCTACAGCCCAAGGTCTGGGATCTCCCCCTTTGCAGGTTCCTAGTCCGAGCCCGAATGTCTACACTGTAATTAAACAGTCCCTTAGCCTGAGCCAGCTGGCACATGCCAGCCACAGGTTTTTAACTGTAGATGTAGACATACCCCCAGAGTGTTAATTTGTTTGTCACATTACACATCCCATTAGAGCAGATGGATAATTACCAGGGAGAAAAAATAGAAGAAAACGTTACTAGAAACACTCACCTATAACATTGCCCAGTAGCTCTAAACGATCAGAGCCAAAGAAGAGGTGAGCTTCACCATTAACATGGGCCACAACTGCTGGCATTCCAAATGCCTAATGCCCCCAGAGAGACAAAACAGGGAGAGTCACAAAGAGACGAATAAGCACAAGACCAGTTCTAAGAGAAACTTTTACAAAGAACAACTGTATCACTTTTCTTTCTCCCTCGCACTCTCACTTTCTTTTTCCCTTTCCCTTTTCTTCTTTCTCTATCTCAAATCTGGGTCCCATGCACCAAGCCTGGATTCTGCAGAACTCTTATGACCCTGTCATCCTATGGGACTGAGCGAAAAGGAATCAGAATCGAACCAGGGCTTCATGCATGGTAGTGGAGAGCAGTGACCCCAGGCACTAGCTCTGGTCTCTGGCACACTGGTCCTCTGACACCTCCCTTGGAATGTGCCAGGAATCAGACCTGGCTATCCCAAAAGATAGTTTCCTGTACTAATACTTAGGGTATTGAGCTGGCTTGCAAGATGTGTTTAAAATACAAAAAAGTCTGAGAGCAATGGGATCCTTGTGTATACTGATCTACCTTTTCATCCTGCCTTGACCCACAATATCACTGCTGGGAAAGGAACACACAGCTCTAACCCCACGTGGCAATGGGAGCATCTCACCCCATATTTCAGTGCCTCCTCTGTTGTCTCCTTCAGACGATTCTTCACCTCAGGGGTCGAGGTCATTGCCAGTAGCTTCTGGGCCAGTGCTGAGGGTAGCCCAGCCTCCTCAGCAGCCTGAGGAGACAGACAGACAGAAAATAAGAACAGCCACTGTTATCATGATAGTTACATAATAATTACATGCAGCTTCATTGCTTGAAGGTCTGTTGTCAAACGATAACAAAATACTCCTCCTAGGACATTTCTCTGGCAGGACAGTCTGGCCTTCTTTCTCCCATTGCCTGGTTATATCACCTATTCTGAGTGACTTCTGAATATGAAGCTGAAGGGATATCACCTCCCAGGCTCAAAATATGCAGCTCTTGTTAGGTGGGCTTTCAATTAGCTAGCAAAAGGGGGAAAGGGAGTTTATGCTTAGTTCAAGTTAACTCTTTCAACATATGAACTAAGACAGATGAAGTGCTGTAGTGGAATAGAAGATGAAGAGTATTAATGTATTAAAGTGTCTAAACAGTATTGGAAGGAGTCTGCCAAACACAGCAATAGAGGAACAAGGAGTGACACTGCATGACAGAGACCAAACTCAGTAAGCCTAACTGGAAGTTGGTGGGTGATCTTCAGAACTGGAATGTTGGTACAGAAGGGCAGCGCGTGTTCTACTTTATTGGAGATAAAAAGAGGCTCTTCATCCCTTGTTGAACTTCTCAACCTTCAAATCTGCCACTGTGTGATGCCAACAATCAAAATGTGAGACATAGGGCCCAAATGTGGGACACACGTATCTTACTGTGTCACACCATAATGTACAGATTATAAAGATCTTTACTATAAAATCTCGCTGTGTCAATGAAAGAACCCCATTTTAAAAAAAAGAAAAGAACAAATTCTCACATGTAACCAAAAAGTCCATAAAATGGACCATCAGCAGGGTTGAACCTGGACATTCAGGTCTTGTCTATACAAATAAGCTGCACCAGTTGAATGTAAATTGGTTTGTAAACCAAATGTAGTAAAACTGGTGCAACTCCCCGATCTGGGGACACTTATTTCATTCTGAGAATCGCTTAAACCTGTTCCCAATCAATTAATGCTAAACCAAAAATAAGTGTCTAGACAGGGGTTTGCTCCAATTTAGCTACTTTATTTTAAATTCACACCTTATATTTAACTGGTGCAACTTTCTCACATAGTTAAAGCCTCAGTTCAACAGCACATAGCTTTACCGCTTGAGCTACAGGAGTAACTGCTAACTACTATGTGGTCCAGCCACTGAGGGTACGTCTACACTACCCGCTGGATTGGCAGGTAGCGATTGATCCATCGGGGATTGATTTATTGCGTGTAGTGTAGACACGATAAATCGATCCCTGATCGCTCTCCCGTCAATTGCTGAACTCCAGCAGTGCGAGAGGTGGAAGCAAAGTCAACGGGGGAGCCGCGGCCATTGATCCAGCACCACGAGGACACGAAGTAAGTAATTTTAATTCGATCTAAGATATGTCGACTTCAGCTACACTATTCGCATAGCTGAAGTTGCATATCTTAGATCGACACCCCCCCCCCCCAATGTAGACCAGGCCTAAGAGGGACCTTGACACATCTTTTCCCAGTGGATTCACATTTGCTAGGAAGTAGACTATTGGAGAGCTGAGGTTCTGAGTTCTGGCTCTGGTCTAAGAGGGGAGGAGGGTCAGAGGGATTACAGACAGGACAAGCCAAAGAACATATACCTAGAATATTTATTCTGAAAGGTAGTGTGACTGCGTGGCTAAGGGCTGGTCTGCATTGCCAAGTTTTTGACCAAAAGGCAGCTTTTGGCGATGAAACAACAGAGGTGTACATACTGCAAAGCCACTTTTTGAGACAAAACTCAGTTGCAGCACTTCAATAAAACCACCTAGGCTGGGTCTACACTACCCGCCTGAATCGGCGGGTAGAAATCGATCTCTCGGGGATCGAATTATCACGTCTCGTCGGGACGCGACAATCGATCCCCGAATCGACGGTCTTACTCCACCAGCGGAGGTGGGAGTAAGCGCCGTCGACGGGGAGCTGCGGAGGTCGATTTTGCCGCCGTCCTCACAGCGGGGTAAGTTGGCTCCGATAGGTCGAATTCAGCTACGCTATTCGCGTAGCTGAATTTGCGTATCTTAAATCGACCCTCCCCC